CCCCAGCGCCGCGGAACATACGCACGACCTGTGAACCTGCCCAAACCCTTTGGGGGCCAATAGCGGGCGCCGCGACGCCCCGCAGGCGGAACGTTCAACAAGACCAAACCCGCTGCTAAGATGGTTGGTTGATCCCTACTTGACAAGACCAACAAAAAAGAACCAGCTACACTGCTACACCGCAGATGTTTTTCATGAACGCCTGCCATCGAAAGGACCTGGCATATCAAGGGAAGGGAACAGCTGCTTGGCAAACGGTCGGGAAGTTAATGCCGCCTTCGTGGTGACCGAAAGCCAAGCGAAGGACACTTGATCAGTGCAGAGGACGTCGACCTGAAACCTCAGAAATGGCAGAAGAATAAACAACTGTTTGTGCAAAAACGATTTTCTCGCAGGCACGCCAACTTGGCGTTCTGAGTTGATATCACAGACCAGTGCAATCAAATGTTGCAGGGTCCCTTGCCCCCCTGCTTATTGGGTGATTAAACATGATATATATAATTGGATTGAAGCAATCTCGAATTCTGTGTCATGAGTCATGAGTGTGTGAAAAAAAGAACCCTTTGGAACAGGCTTTGACACACACACACACACACATGGACTGTGGGTCAGAACGGACTCTACCCACAAGACAATGCTTTTCGGGACATCCACGTGCCCTCCCGAAGTTTGGTGTTTAGGTTTGAAACTGAGGATTTTTTGCCTGGTGCTGTCCACCAGACCACTGTTCTTTGTTCTCACTGGCAAGGTCACCGTGCAAGAGGGCTCTTGGACGGTGCCCCTTGGAGAAACAAAGGGGCGTTTGGTGCGGTGGACGACCCATGCGGGACGTTTCCTGGCGGTTGACTGGGTAAACAAAAACCTCCTAGCTTGGGGGACGCCATGACCCGATCATTCGTTGAGTCATTGGCACACTGGTAGTCTTCAGGATTCAGGCTGTTGCATTTTGGGTTTCAACAGGAGTTTCACACCAATGGCCGTTCGGCTGCATGGCTTGTGCAGGGCCACCAACTCCTGTGTGTGTGCTACGTCGTTCCTTAACGGTGGGAAGCTGGCAGGTGGGACTAAGTAATCCAGAGCACAGGTGCTTTGGTGCGCTTTTGGGAGCACAGGTGGCAGTTAAGAGGATGGTAGGATGAACCAAACAAAAAGAGTGTTTTGCATTGAAAGTGAGGCCTGCTAAGAATCTTGGGCCTAGTAGTAGAGTTCCAACTCCTTTCTTGGATATCATATGATGAGATTAGATTATATATATATATATAGGATATACTATATATATATTATATATACTCTCTCTTTATATATATATATATATGGTGACCTGTCAATTGCACCATGAACGTCAGATAGTAACATCGAGTCGGCCTTTATTCCTGCTTGATCCGTCCCGGTCTCTTGATCACAAACCCTGACGGGTTGACACCTTGCGAAACAGTGTCACATGTATGTGGTTTTCTTGGTGTTTTCACAGGATTTGACTGGCTTGCCAGCTTCCAAATCAACCCTTCAAAGCTGACCTGGTGACCATTGATGTTCAGACTCTTCTCATTTGGGGGTTCTTCATTTCAGAAGGTCCAATTCCCTAGCTGTCCAATTAAGGCCCGGACGTAACATCGCTTTGCTTTGGCCCGACCGGAACCAGTGAAATGAATGAACTCCCCGACTGGTATACGAGAAGTTATCATATACAGATACATAGTCATATACAGTACATATATATATATAGAACTTGTGTTAATGGTTCTAGAATATAGTTCTATATATTTTTTTCTTTTGCATATATGCAACAATATGTATATATGCATATATATATATATATATTTTTTTTTAAATATATATATATATATACCAGCACCCTCCTGTCGGGGTGTCCTGGCTGAACTACCCCACACTACCTATTAGGCTTCCATTGGGCACAGCTCCGCACAGGCGCGGCGTCGACACGGCCTTCAGCAGCGAGGCCGGGAGACCGCGCGGGTTGTCCACGCGCGCGGCGCGCGGGCGTGGACTGCAGCTCGAGTGAAGCGGAAGGACCAAAGAGGTTCGGTGAGATTCCACCAGCATATATTTGGATGGATTTCACCAAAGAACCTGCTTTTTAACTCAGGATTCGGAATGGATTTCAACCAAACTTCAACTGTTTTACTAAGGGTTTGGTACTACAAAACCAGGTCCAACCTTTTTTTCTAGGGAGTTGGTTTTTGATGATATGCCTACGTGACCATCGGAAAAGAAAAGGATAACAGTGAGAGGGAATCCCCATATTTTGTTATCATAGCTATTCGTCGTAGGATCACCAGCCTTTTATAGCCTATATATTGATATAGGTTGTCCAATGGCCTGTGTGGCCAAAACATTGTCCAAAAACAATGGTTGCTGTGCTTCTTTGGTGCAACAGCGCTGTTGTACCGTCGGAGGAAGCGAAATAGAGTAAAATAGAGGTTCCTGAGCTTTCAACATGACATGTTTGTGTAATGTAAACTCTTGATTGGTAATCCTCCACATATATAAAAAGGTGTTTCAACCCAAATGGGGGGATTATTGTTACTAATCAAGAGTTTCCATTAGATTAATTCTTTCTCTCTCTCCCTCTCTCCCTCTCTATGTATATATATATACACTATACACCTGGAGCCTGAGTGACCACTGTTTTGGAGGATCAACTATCCAACAGAGGTCAGTCAGGGTATATATAAATACACACACCTCTTTCTGTGGATCCCCCTAGGTCCGGCTAGGCCTTTTGAAGTTGCGGATCCACTGGCTAGCCACTATGGTCGCCAGATCCACTGGGGTGTAATCATGGCCAAGTGTCAGTGTAGAGGTGCAAGGACCCGGAACTGAGTTTTTGTTTGTGTTTATTTTCGCCAACAAGGAAGAGCCCTCTTAGTTGGCTTATCCTGGAAGTTTGAGAAGTTGAAGTCAAACACTTAACAAGAAACAACAACCATCAAATGGGTCACTACCTGTTCTCCCCATCACCCCCTTTTTCAGGAGCTCCTCACCCTGTGGGATGCCCAGGTTGGGCCGGGAAGTCACTTGGAGGTGGCGGGCTGCAAAGCGCCGTTGAAGGTGAAAGAGGCCCGGGACTTTGGAGGTGGCGGGAACCCGCGCGGGCGCCCCGCGCGGGGTTCGCGCGGGTGAAAGGCGTGAACCCCAAACACGACCTGTTTGGAGCTGGGGTGGGGTTACCTACATTGATTTCAGGTGAAGCATCCCAGTGTAAATATTCTAATCCCATGGAGTAGAATGGGCTTGGCAACATGGGGAAGCCAAGGCAATTCGGGATGGGGGAGTTGAATCTTTCGACGGATTGATTGAAGATAGATGTTTGAGTATCCAAGTCGGAGGGATCTATCCCTAGGGCTCCAACCATATCCTCAGAAGGTGGTTAGACCCCGCCGGCACCCACCCCAACCACCGTACCTCAGGAGGGTATGAACAGTGAACACACTACGCGTGGGCCTGGTCTGTTTCACTCAGGCCCCTTTCTCTCCAGGTGGCGAGTGCCACGGAGCTCACGATCGACTCGCCAGCCATCAGCAGCACCAGCGGGGCCAGCTTCAAGGTGCAGCCAAAGGTGCGGCCGAATCCGGGTGACGGATGGGTGTGTAGTGTGAATATCCATAAATAGGGAGACCCCCAACATCCCCCAACCAAGGAGCTTTCGTCTACTTTTCCTTCTTCCAGGGTGTCTTTGGGAGGTCTCAAGATTCAATTGACACACCCAGATGAGGGGGTACGTGGTGGTAAGAATGTGGCAAGATTCCAGAAGAAACCGACTGGACGAGTATGACAAACACTGGCAATCTCAGTTTGACATGGTTCGATCTGCTGGAGGCGTTGTGTCGTTTCTGAACTTATTTTTGCAAAGTTCAGTGCATCCTCCTTACTTAACTGGAGCCCTGTGTCCTTCCAACATGCAGCACTATTTGTTTTCACCATGGAGATGAGCAAGAGTGAGTTCATGTCATTTCTGTCACATAGTGCTGGGGCAAAGCCTTTCCCTGGTATCCGATGGGCAGCCCAAAGTTCTTTTTGAGTTGGAAGGATTCCATGTTGCAAGGGGTGATTTCCATGTTGACTACGGCAATTACTTTTCTACCTGAGGTGGCTCGCATAATTTCGCATCAATTCACATCTAAACGGGAGAGCTTTCTTAATCAAGTCTCTTGCTCTCGCCAGCTTTTGGATATTTTTTCGAGAGATCTCAAGATCGCCAGGTCGACCAGTCGGCCATGTACAAAGAGGTGCACCCCGGCACGAAAGAAATCAACATCCTGCCTGGTCGACTTCGGAAAGGTTTGGGAATGTGTTTGATTCATTCCACCTATGAAGGTGCCAACGTCATAGAAGATGGTTGATCAACATGCGATGCAACAGATGTGCCTGTGACCGTGCTTCGCTTGGGCATGTGAAGCCCGGAAATGGCCGCAAAGGACGGTGTTTTCGTATGCTTTCCTGCAGAAGAAAGAGCTAACTTGACACTTTTTTTGACTGCTCCTTGCTGGCAACATTGGTAGTACTCCCCCCCTTCGTTGTCCCTGCAAAAAAGAGTCTTAGCAGTCTTAGCACATCCCACTTCAATGGCTGGAACGTCTGTCCTCTCCGCCGGGCTCCCGCCGGTCCCATTCGCCCCGGCCCCGATCTCGCCGATCCGCTGCCGCGCGAGGGGTGAGGGGATGGAGGTGGCCTGGGTATGCCGGGTATCCATATCAACCACCGAACTTGGGAGCCCACAAGTACCATCAAACCTCTGAAACCCCGGTCGTACTGTTATTGTGCCGAACCTCCAACCTATTCCAACCTTGTGGAAAGAACGGGCGTGCCTACGAAGAAGCATGGCAAAAGCTTGCTTTTCGTGGAAAAAAGCACGGTAAAGACCTTCTTGACCTACCCAGAAAATCCCCGAAAAGCCTAGCTGAAGAACTTGCCCTGCCGTTTCTCCTCGTTTTCTTCCAACGGCTTGTTGTGGTTCGGCGCCCCAGGCACCGGGGCCTATGCAAGGGAAATTGTTTGGGGATCTTCCCCGAAGGCTGGGCATCGATCGTGTCACGCGCTATTGCGCGTTAGAAAGTTCATATTTGCATATATAGTATATAATGTGCGCGCTATTGTTTTTGTAAACATGTAAGCACATCAGGATGGTCAATGATTAATTATTATAATCGCTATTTCTGTTTGTATATGGTTCTGGATTTGGATGAATACTGTATCGTCCGTGAAGAGTCATCGATGCAACATCAGTTGGTATTTGCTGCACCCTGTGACTGTGATGTCAGTATTATGTATAAGTGTTTGGCATTTCCAAACATGCAGTATGTTCCAAAGATTCCAAACATGCAGTGCCGGACGGTTTCATGATGCTCCATGCAACGCAGTCAGACCGTCTTAAGCAAACCCCACGTACGTGGCACAGGGAACCTCGTGTCTACATTGGGAACCTCGTCGCAGGCGGCAGCCACGATCGGACCGACCTGTTACCACTGAAAGCTGGTGTGGCGGTCATCGCGCTCGAAGCGCATCGCTCCTCGGCGCATCGCGCCCCCTGGTGGGGTGGATTGGGCGTGCGGCCTCGCGAAGCGGCGCGGTTCTCCTTGGTGTGCGGCGGAGGAGGGGGTGGAGGCGGATGGGGGTGGAGAAGATAGGGATATGTAGGGATCGATTGGTTGACCGTGATAGACGGGGAACTGAAAGGAGACAATTGCCGGTGATTGCCAACATTGCGTGGACGGAACATTGTTTGCGGATGTTCAGGACTGGTTGAAGGTTTGAGTCAATAAGATCATTGTGACTGCTCCTAGCAAAACGTCAAACCCTGGTTTTGCGGATCAGGTGATGTTAGTATTTTCCCCGTTCAAGCCCCAAACCTGGGGAGTATGTTTTTACTTTTTCCAGGTTCAAGCAAACCCAAGAAACAATTCGTGTCACAGCTTGAGGTCCCACTTTTTGTACCCCCCAGAAGTGGTCTTTAGCTCGCAGTGGTTTCATGCTCGTTGCGTGGCGTGGCGCTCGGGTTTCATGGAGTCGCTCGCTCCACTGCTGAGTCGCTCGGAGCCTTGAGAGTGAGTAAGAAGGGTCACCACCGTCCTTTCGTTTGCAGACTGCAGACCAACATAGTGACATCCTCTAGTTTGGCACTGGTGAAATGTAGCCACTAAGTTTCTATTAAGTTTCTTTACAGCTAGGCTATGCTGGGATACATTTGCACTGGCGCACCGTGGCCTTGTTTTGCCGGGCGCACCCGTACGAGGGCACGGGTGAACGAACAACCGCCGCTCAGCCCGTCGGCTCAGCCGTCCGTTCTGTCATGAAAAGGGGAATTGATGTTTCGATGTGCCACAGGGCTCAAAGTTCGACCTGACAAGTTTAGGATTGCCTTGCCGGCCCCAGTGGTCCTGTGGATCACGCCATGACCGCAAAGGGACAGGGCCAGGCTTCGTCGCGTGGTTGTCCCAGGGTTCATCTCTTCGACCCATGGTATATCTATGTACCCAGACACTCCATGTATGCCATATATACCTACATTGACCCCTCAAACCACCCCAATGTAGGCATATATGGCATACATGGAGTGTTTGGGGTATATCTATGTGTAAATGTCCCATGCAGGTACAGTTTGTAGAAAGTGCTCCATAGCAACTTGGCAAGGGCATGACGTTTGCTCTTGCGCGAGGCTACCTTTGCTGACAGAGACATTTGCTAGCGCCGAATCTGTTGGAGTGGCCTCCAGTTGAAGGTAAATGACCACGTGTAGGTATACAGACGCCCAAATAGATAGAGACGTAGATCCCAAATAAACATGTATTGAAAACCGTTTCTATAAATCTATTTGGGGATCACTATATATAAGATATTTGGTGCTGTATTCTTGGATTTGTGGGTTCAGGGTGACATGAGGCCAAAATTTGGTTGGATTCTGAGGGAGTGCGATCATGTGCGATCTCATGATACCTAAGGCTTACATCATTTGAATGTTCCCATCGTCCCTGTGGGCTTGAACTACTTCCGTGGACATCAGTTGCGTGGTCTTGCGCAGTGCGGCAAGCAGTGCTATTGGACCCGCCAGGAGTGAGAAGAGATTGGAGGGTTCACATGGGTTCACGCTATACCTGGTACTATACCCAGTACCCCACTTCCTTTTGGCATGCAGCTGCTGCAAGCCCGAATCAGGGAGTTTGCTGTGGGGCAACCGTGAATTTCTGGTTGCGGTAATTCGCATGAGTGTGTGTGTGTGCGCACGGCGACTGTGGGACTCGCAGGAAGGGATGCTCCTTGGAGTGGCCATGCGTCCAACTGTTTTGATAGATATTTCAAGTGCAACCGCTTCCAACCTTTCTGCCACTTTGTCTCAAGAACGTGTCCCAACACTTTTACCATCTTTTACCCCTCTGGCCCCTCTATGTCCCCGCCCTGTTCCTTGCATTTCTGTTACTGTACGCATACACTGCATTCTTTCCATCACTAGCTGCCGGCCCTCGGTTTTCGGTTCGCAGTGGATGTGTGAATCGGGCGATCCCCCCCGGGGCGACCATCCAAAGCTCAACCGGGTCGATGAAAGCCTCCCCATTTGGATTGAAGACCTCTTCATGTGGGGGTCTTGATGAATCAAGAGTTCACAAAGCTTATATGTAATAATTCCCTAGGGCTCCTGGCCCACTGGGGTGGGTGCCGGCGGGGTCTAACCACCTGAGGAGATGGGCCACGAGCCCTAGGGAATTAATACACACCATCTCGCCGATAGCGGGTGGAGAACGGCCAGAGAAGTCCACTCCTCCACGGATGAAATCGACGACCTCCCGACATCCTGAGGTTTGGCGGTCGAGTGGCTGCTTGGATTTGGCTCCGGAGTGGCTGGAATTGGTTGAACGAGTGGACTCCAGTGGGCATAGCCGAGCCTCACAAACCCACGAAAGGCGGCGAAAGCTGCTTTCGGCGGTTTCAGTTAGTTGGACTCCATGGTTTCAGACGTGAGAAATGGCACGTCTCAGCCGTCCTTGCTTGTCCTTCATCACCTAAAATTGGGATTATGCCTTGAAATTTGAGCCAAGAGTTCTGAAGAGTCTACCTGTGTATATATATATATATGTTGATCGACCGCGTATCATGTCAGGACGCCAGGGACTTTCATGCCCAAGGAGGAAAAGGGCCGCATGGATCGCGGCTTCGTAGGTGTGTGCTACCAACATTGGTAGCGGAGCTGGGAATAGCCCGGCTCCCCGGTGACTGGAAGTCGCTGGAGCGTTCGATCGACCGCGTTTTGCCATGGAATCTGGCTCTGGTGGACTTCGCTATTTTAGCGGAGAAGAGAGCGACCACCGCGAGTATCGTCGGTGGAAGCAATGGGTGCAGAACAAGATGAGAACGATGGACAAGCTGACAGAGGAAGCGAAGGGTTCCTTCATCTGGACGCTTTTGTCCGGTCGTGCTTTAGAAGTGGTGGAGCACCTCCGAGAAGAAGATTATCAAGTCAAAGGCGGCGACAAGGTGTTGTTCGATTTGCTTGACCGGCGTTGGCCGGAGCTGGACCGGACAGACGAGATTGGAGAGAACATTGCTGCTGTGTTCGCCCTCAAGGCGAAGGAAGGCGAATCTCTTCGCCAGTGGTGCGCTCGCTCACGCGAGTGCTTCGACCGCTGTGCCCGGAAGACCGGGGTGAAGTTTCCAGAGGAGGCTCGTGGTTGGATCCTCCTCAACTGCTCTGGGATGTCTGAAGGTGATCGTGCAGTTTGTTTGGCTCGGGCCCAAGGGGACCTGAAGTTTGACACTTTGTCTCAAGCAATGCGTTCCTGCTTCCCTGAGTATGTGGTGGCGAAGAAACGTTTCAATGCCGCTCACCTCGTGGAAGACCCAGCTGTTGAGCCACAAGACCCAGTTGAGGAGTCGTTCAAGGACGTGGAGTTGTTCCTGACCGAACACGGCCTGGCTGGTGAGTATGAGGGAGTTGATCCCGTTGATGGAGATGAATATGATGAAGAGGAAGCCGCTGAGATTCTGGCTGCCACTTGGCGTGAACGCCGAGCTGAACTCAATCAGGTGCAAAAAGGACGAAAGTTCCACTCTCATGACAAAAGGGGGACATCGTCGTCAGCTGCATCTGGCAAGGAGTTTCGACGCTCCTTTCGAGTTCAAGTTGAGGAGCTCAAACAGCGCACTCGCTGTCGACGGTGCGGGAAGATTGGACATTGGCAGCGTGAATGCAAGTCCCAAGGGGCTTCTACATCCGGCTCAACCCCTGCAACCAGTCATGCTGCAGGTACAGTGGAACATGTGCATGAGATGCCGGAGCATTTTGTATGTACAGCTGCCTCCGTGAACTTGCCGTCTCACGAGGTCCTTCTGGTGAGCAGTCCGGGACACGCCGTCCTCGACAGTGGATGTGGCAAAACCATCATCGGAGAAAAGACCCTTCAGGCCTTCGCAGAGATTTGGGAAACTCACAAGCTGCCATCGCCGCTGGAGAAGAAGGAACAGAATCGTTTTCGCTTCGGTAACGGGGAGCAAGAGACAAGCTTCCGTGTGGTGGAGATGCCGGTGTTCTTGGCCAATCGGCCTGGCTTTGTGACGGCAGCGGTTGTGCGAGGCGATGCCCCGCTCCTTTTGTCTCGGCCCGCGCTCAAGAAGTTGGGCGCCACATTGGATTTTGCTGGAGATTCATTGACATTGTTTGATGGCCAGTCGTCCCTTGCGCTGGAGACGAATGCTGCTGGACAATACACCGTCAACGTGTCGTGTTTTCCTGAGGATGCTGCAGCCCTTTTTCCAAGCCGAGTCAAGCCGTCCGAGAAGCCTGAGCCACCACCGGCTGCATGCCACTCGGTGCAGTTCGATAAACCCCCTGTTGGGAAAAAGAAGGATTTTTGGGAGTTTAGACCACAAGAGAGGCTCGTGATCCGACATCATCTGAAGCCTAGGCGAGCCCTGTTTACTCCTCATATGTCTCAGTGCCCTGTCAGCCTCGATTCGCTCGGTCCGACTCGTCTTACGAAGTTTGACGTTGTCACTCCGCACACCAGGGACCGTAGTGACTCTTGGAAAGATTCGATGGTCGCACACACCATTGCAGGACATGAGCCATGGACGGGACAGACCATTTTCAAGTTAAGTGAATATGCTATCCCGCCAGCCTTCGATGCTCTCGAGGAACAGCTGCAAGTGTCGCGCATGTCCGCTCGACAACACCGACAACTGATGGCGCAGGTAAGGGATCATTCGCCGTCTTCGAACGTCGGATCGTGGGACGTGATTGAGGTGTTTTCACCTCCTCGTTTTGCTTTAGAAGGGGCGAAACTGGGATACCGAGTCCTGTCGGCCGATTTGTGCACTGGTTGGGACTTCAGGAAGAAAGCTGATCGAGACCGTTTGAAAGAAAGCCTGCAATCATCCAAACCTCGCCTGTTGGTTTTATGTCCCCCTTGCACTTGGGCCGGTGGTTGGTGGCATTTGAATCGGTTGTACATGGACCCAAATGAAGTAGTGACTCGTGAAACATGGACTTCCTTGTTTATCCAGTTCTGTTGTGAGCTCATGGAGATTCAACTGGAACTGGGTGGAAGGTGTCTGTTAGAACATCCTCGGGATTCCGTTGCATGGAACACCTGGTGTCCGTGGATATGTGTTGCTATGGGTTACGAGTGCCATCCGGGCCGCTCATCCGCAAGGCCACTCGCTTGCTGGTGTCCCATGCTGACATGAGATGCCTGAGCAGAGCCTGTCCTGGTCCCGAGCACAAGTGTCATCAGACACATCAACCTGTGGCGGGCCACTGGCCTGGAGTAGGTTCCGTAAGCAAACATGCTGCCAAGTACACCCCGGCATTTGTCAAGGCCGTACTGAGAACCATGACTGAACTGCCGTCAGGAGTGTGTTTGGCAGTTCACGAGGATGATATGCATGTAGAATGCCTGGCCTCCCGCGCCATAGAGAAGCTTGAGCAAGAGAATGAACAGAAGCTGCACGCCAGCCTTCGACATCTCCATGTGAACCTGGGTCACCCACAAATGCACAGATGCTTCGAATCCTCCGCCACGGTGGTGCGTCTGCGGGCGCTCTCGAAGCGGCTCGGAAATTCAAGTGTGACCACTGTGAAGCTCACAAAGCTCCAAGGCTGCCTGTTCCTGCTCAACCTCAACGGATCGTAGAGTTCAATGCACTCGTAGGCATAGATGTTAAGTATTTGCCCGGTTGGTCAGGAAATCAGCGAATCCCCACACTGAACATCTTGGATTATGCTAGTTCATTGCAAATCATGGTGCCGTTGTTCAAGAAAGAAACCGCACACAGCATTCGTCAAGCCTTCCAAGAACGTATCGGCACCATCATTTATGGCTTTATGAGTGAAGCTGACAATGAAACCGGCCTGAGTCGCTCCAGCCTTGGCGTTGCCAAATGCTGCATCCGAGTGACACATCAGTCCAAGGCTCTCTGGTTCAATACAGCAAAAACGAATGGTTTGATCAGCATGTTGTCTCGCTCGTCGAATCGCTTGGTTTGCTGCAATTGCATCAGCTACTGTCGGTTTGGGGAATAATTGTGAAAAGGAAACTTGAGTAGCTAGATCAGGCCGAGACTGATTGGCCAGCCAATTAAGACTGCCATTGATGGCCCGGAGACAGCTAATTTCCTTATCGGTCAGCGGGCTGGTCTTCTCTTGACACCTCTCTCGAGTTAGATGGAGGGGTCGGATCTTTTCTACGAACTGCGATTGACTCATGGTGATTTCACATGTCTTGTCACATTGAGTGTACTGTGCACCACAAAAATCACCTGACCCGGTTCTCCATTTTCTGAACTCAAAGGTGGATTGAAGCTTCTGAATTGCTTGTTGATACCCTACACCATCTCCCCCAGTGACACAATCGTCTACATGCACACCATATATACCGGTCAACTTACCCTTCTCCCGAAAATAGAAAAGGCACGAGTCGAATTGAGAACGTTCAAAACCAACTTGCAGTAGTTCTTGACATAGCTTCTTGTACCATGCAGCTGGGGAATCGTTCAATCCGTACACATGACCAACTACCTCAATCAAGGCGTCATCTGGCAGACCAGGAATACCGCCTGGTGGAAGGCGGGCGTAGAGCGGTCGGTATCGCTTGGGAAGGTTCCCGGCAGACAGGAAGGCGCCCTTCACATCTCCCAGGGCCATACGCCATCTATTGCTAGCAATCAGCTGAAACACTAGGTTTCGACCAACCTGAGACAAGGTGGGACTCTGCAGGTCGCCAATCTCGGCCTTGGCCGTGAGATCTGGGTCGAGGTGACCCAAGAGACACCATCTCGCCTTCATCCGGGGATCAGCACCATCTTCATGTTTGATGGTCATCACAAAACGGCTACCCATGATGCGATGGCTCAAATGCTTCCTGACTTCATCTGCCTCAGGGCCTAGGACAGGTCTGCCTGCATGCTTGGCGGTGATGGTACCCCATTCTAATACCTTAGCTTCATCGACCTTCTTCTGGATATCAGGGGGATTACCAAATGCAGGAATTTCTTTCGAGGACTTCTTCTTCATATAAGCAGCTACCATGACCTCATGAGGGGCACCTTCTCGAAACAATCGTACCAATGCCTTTTTGTCCTCTAGGAACAGGGAATCCGATGCTTGAGGAACCTGGTGTTTATCAAGTAGCTCAACTGAACAAACTGCCATCTCATCACAAGCAAAAGTCTGACCAGTCGGCTCAGCGAACAAGGCCTCATCAGGTGGATCAAAGGCTGGTCGCTTATCTGCCGGTTCGGCAGTAGTGTCATCAGCACCGTCGATTGATCGTTTGACACCCCGAGACGGCTGAGACGCCGAGGACGAGGCATGGCTCGGATCACTGGCTGCTTCTTCTGACAGGACTTGATTCACCAGTTCGGGAACGATTTCTTGCATCATTTCTTGGAAATCCTCTTGCAGCATGGGACCCGGGCGGTACAAGGCCATGGGACCATCCTTTTGATGGATCCGGCGACGAGGCTGACGAACAGGCCCATATGCCAGTTCAGATTCGGCAGACACTGGCTTTGGCTGCTCGGTCTGAGGTTCCTCCGGAAGCACCCATGACTTATGAACGAACTCGGATTGCGGTGGTTCGGGCACAACTGTTTGTGGAGCATCAACTGGCATCGGAACCGAGACACGATCAGAGATGGACTGGGGCTCTTGTGTTGCAGGGGCACTAACTGGCGGTGGAGCCAGGTCGGATTCCTCTGGATGGCTAGGGTATGAGTCTGGCACCAAGTCTATGAACTGCCTACTCGCCAACTGGTTGGTCTCGATCAAATGCTTGATACCTAAGAACTCCATTTGGGGGGTCTCAACTAGCTTCTTTTCATCCTGAGTAGACGGTCGAAGTTGCTCGGGGGCACATCGGAAAACTTGCCTCTTATGAATGATGACTGCATTTCGACCCACATACCCCAAAACCACTGCGGGACCACACCAGCGCCCCGATTTCTCAAGAGCACCATGTACCCACTTTTGAGATCTCCAAAAGGCAACATAAGTTCCGGGACTAGGTCTGTTGAACCCTGGGACGAGCGGCCAAAGCACGACGCAACGAGCGATCGTCTTGCAGTTCCAACACAGCACGTCGGGCGGTTTGCCGAATGGCTACCTGTTTAGCAATGGCTTCTTCGTAGAGGGCAGCAGTAGCAGGTATCACCTCCAGAGGTTCATCCATCAGATTCTCCGGTACCCGGGGGTTTTTGCCGAAAAATTGCGAGGGGGTCATCCCATAAACCTGAATCAACTGGTTCTTACAGTGTGCAGCATGGACACATTCGAGCCAGGCTTCTTGTGTGCGGGGTACGTGTTCAGCCATGATCTTTTCGAGAACTCTGGCAAACCACCCACCATGTACTTCACATTTCCCTAGCTGCCAATGGGCGTCAGCCGCTGTCAGCTTGAAAGTGGCGCCACCCTGTTCCATCGCCAGGGAGAATGCATCAGCGATGTTTGCGCGTGCAGGGTCACAAATGATCTCATGTGGCATGCCTGCCCACGGCGCCTGGTCTCCGGCTTATTGGAAGAGTTTTCGCCTTCCCAGAGTGGTGAATTCCACTTTAAGTGCCGAGGCTCAAAGCATGTCCGTGGCCTCCAGTATGGTAGAGTGGACGAACTTGATCCTATCCGAAGCTTTAGATGGCCCCCGATGTTGTGGAGTTTATGGTCTGGGTTGGGTAACCGCTTGACTCTAGTGATCACTGATTGTAAGTCACTTTATGATCATCTCCTCTCGCAGTCGTCGCCGACTCTCGACGATCGCCGTACCGCCATTGACATTGTGATCCTGAGAGACAGCATCTCTAGGATGAAAGCGTCCCTAAGGTGGATCCCCACGGATCGAATGCTGGCTGATGCCTTGACCAAAGAATCACCGGAAGCGTTTGACTTGCTTCGCGCATGTCTGAGAACCACCAGGTATCAGATCAGCCCTGAGGCACTTGTTCTGCAGAGAAGAGCTAGCGAGCGTGAGCGTCGAAAATCGTTCGCTTCGAAACAGGCCCCACAGCCTCCTAAGGAGGATAAGGCATGTTGAGTGATGACTTAGTTTTTGACGGGTTTTGCATTCGTGTGTTTCTCTTTACATGGAGTCTGGATGGGCGACTCCATCATAAGTGCATTGGAATGTTGTCAAATGTCAAGCACTCGTAATTCAAGATCATTTTTGTGTAGTACTTAGTTTGATCCCTGGCACACGCCTGACTGTGAGAATTTTTGATGCAGTGAGTTTGTTGTGAGCTCTGCTTTTGGACACAAGTCGTTTCGTCCGCAGAGCTTTCTCCACAGTTCCCGAGCGAGTACGAGCTTTGTTTGTTTTTGGCACCAATCGCCATGGCATCCAGCAAGCCATCGTTCACGTTGGCTGAGGCCGATGAATGTGTCCGCCTGGTACGGCTGGCACGCAAGGCAGGATGGTGGAAGTCCGTCTGGCAGCGGGTCGTGGATTTGGACGACCTTGCCGAAGATTTGTCATGGGAGGCCGTGTCTCCTAATGCCCTCGCTGGCTCGATGACTGACGGCTCCAAGCGCCTCCGTGATGAAGGCAGCGCGTCGAAGATGGTGACCTATGCGCCTGCCGGATCTGGCCATGATGTCATGAAGAATGTTCCCATGCCCTCGACAGGGTACCCTGTTGGAGCTCCGAGTCCTTCAGTGGCACTCCCAGATGGAGTACCTACCGTGGAACGGTGGGGTCAGACCCTTGTGAGTTTCGGGAAATTTAAAGATGCCAAGACATATGCAGAGCTTTTCGACTCCACGGATGCATCCATTGCGTCCTATCGGAACTATTGTGTGTCCCACTTCAAGAGTGGATCTCCGGGTCTGAAAGACCTTGTTTCGTACTTCAAGGCCCGTGGTTTGAATGATGCAAGTCAGTGCGTCATTCCTGGAAGCCATACCTCTCGGCATTTTAGAGAGGATTGATAGGAGTGTTGATCGACCGCGTATCATGTCAGGACGCCAGGGACTTTCATGCCCAAGGAGGAAAAGGGCCGCATGGATCGCGGCTTCGTAGGTGTGTGCTACCAACATATATATATTTGTAGATATCACTGATGCAGGGCGTCCTTGACTTCCTCAGCTGTCAGCTGCTGAAGAGAGACCTCAGGGTTCCTGTCAATGCGTGACAGTCACCCTTCACACTATGACCTTGCCTCCACCGGAGGCCTGTTTTATTTTGAGCATACCTGGACCACCCGATTCCAAACAAGTGTAACATTTCAAAGCGCAGGACTAAAAGCAACGCTGGTCTAAAAAAGAGCAACATGTACAAAAACATGACATGCCATGCCCCTGGAGAGGAAGACTTGGACCACAAATGCACTGGGGATAGATAATATGGAATATTCTCATGTGTTTTTCTTGAGTATTGGGCTTCAAAAACACCCTAGTCAAGCTGAAGTGTTTGTCATGTGTTCAAAAAGCGGCAAAATTCCACTCCGCAAGTTTCCGCCATAGACTTGTTTGTCAAATGTTGCAAGTCACGGCGCATCCAAGAGTGACCCCTTCATCAAACATTGGAATGCCAAAAGTTGAGCTGGAGAGTGTGCTGTGTAGGATTTAATCAATTCGGCAACCATATTGTGTCCTGTTGCACCACACGCAGGTCAAGACCCCCAAAGAGCACAACAATTGCACTTTTTTTGGCATGACAGTTCCAACAAGCATGTTTTTGCTGACTTATATGGCATCTTTTTGGCATACAAAGGTTGCTCCAGGCAGTTCTTTTTCTTCCATGTTGCCTTGAGTGAATGTTTCCAATAAATTCAATTGAGGCATTGACCGCATCCCCTTCCCAAAACCGTTGCGGTCCGCTTGGCCAGCCGTTTGGAGCCACCATCGTTGGGTGAAGTAAGGGGCTCCAACGTCGTTGGCTGAATGGGCTCATTTCATCGGGCCGGCTGGACGTGTTCAGATTTGGTGCCTCCATACAGTCACAAATCCCCCAAAAAGGACTGAGACGTGATTCAATCATGCAAAGCAAAGGTGACTCAATCGTGTGTTTTTGTTGGCACTTCTTCAACCGTTGGTCTAGCCAGTAGCCGCTAGGGTGCCTCAAACAAAAATACATGGACATCTGTGTGAAACTGAATCACCCCAGGCTACTGGCGTTCAGAACTGATCACCGCTACTGGTCACCGCTACTGGCGGTTACTGCATAGATGCTTTTGGATCCAAAAGCCGGTCTGAAGTGAGGTCATGGAGTTTGGAGCGCCCATCATGCCGCTCGGCACGTCAGATTCATATTCTGGGCAGATCCGGAGCAACAAGTCGATGCATCCCCATGTTCCCACGACTATCATGGTCATGCAATGACTTCACCTTCATCAGAGCATACTGGCTCTATGTCAGCCTCACGAGGTCCTTCATCTTTGTCAGATGTCTTTTTGTTTCTGGTGGACATGCGGAAGTATGCGGGGACTGCAGCGCAGGGAGTTCGTGTGAGATTGTGCTTTGGAGTGGCAAGTCTAGTTTAGTTGTCAGCATTTTTCTTTGGGGAGCCCCCATGCTACAAGCTGTGGGTGCTTAAGCCTGGCCTCATAAATGCGTTGAACATATAACTATATATATACACTTATTTATACATACATAGTTACATACAGATACAGATGCAGATCCAGGGTCATTTTATTGGAAACTTCTTAAGGCTCAGGAGTCAACAAGAGAAATCAATCAGACAAAGGCAGCCAGGTAGCCGTTGTTAGACATTCCGATCAGAACGCCTTTTCCCAATTTCAACCAAAAGACTAAAGAAGGACAGCTCCATTTAACAAAATACTTGAAAAAAGATGCTTCCTGCCTTGAAGTGCGCTTGACATGTTTGTAATTCGTTTGTGTGTATTTGTTGTTGTGTTCCAGATGTGCAAGCCCGTCTTGAGAATGACTCAGTCACTCGGATTTCTTTGATTGCATCGGTCGTCAGTGTTGATCTGATTCCCTTCCCTCCATTTTGCACAAATCCCAGACACTCCATGTATGCCATATATACCTACATTGACCCCTCAAACCACCCCAATGTAGGCATATATGGCATACATGGAGTGTTTGGGAATGAGTCTGGGAATGAGCAGCATGGAGCAACGAAAATTATTTTTGAAACAGATTTGGGTAAGAGGAGGGTCTCGTGGGTCTTGGTCAACTTGCTGATCAGAGCAGTTCTGCTTGGATCGAGCCTTGCTCAGGATTTCCGAGGACCGCGGATGGATGGGGCCTAGACAACCCATTATGTCAAGTGCTTTTTTCTGTCAAAACCATGGAACCGAACTTGATAGAACTTGATCAAGTTGGCTTGTAATGTCAACCTAGGATTAGTAAACCTCCTCTAGTTAATCCGAGCCCATAACCAGGTCAATTTTTCTTACTATACTGCTGCTGCTGCTACTCCTCCTACTCACTGCTGCTGCCACTGCTGCTACTGCTACTGCTATTCATACTCCTACCCCTACCCCTACTACTACTACTACTACTACTGCTACTACTCCTACTCCTGCTCCTGCTCCTGCTACTGCTACTACTGCTACTGCCACTGCTACTGCTACTGCTACTACTACTGCTTCTACATACACTTACTTAATACTTACTACTACTTCTACTCCTACTACTCCTACTACTGCTGCTGCTGCTGCTACTACTACTGCTGCTGCTACTGCCACTGCTACTGCTAGTGCTACTGCTACTGCTAGTGCTACTTCTTCTGCTACTACATACACTTACTTACTACTTGCTACTACATACACTTACCTACTCCTACTTCCTACTACCTACTACCTACTACCACCTGCTATCCCCTACTGCTACCTACTATTCCCTACTACTACCTACTATTCCCTACTACTACCTACTACTACTCGCTTCTTAGCCGATTAGCAGGCTATTCAGGGGAGGTGGACCTCATGAATGGTACCTCAGACTTTCTGAACCTTGTTGATCTTCCACGTGGCGGGGGAGGGGGTTGATTTGTCCGCGGCTTAAAATTATGCTATATGCATTTGGATTTGCGTCACCAAAACAGTGTAGATAGATATATCCCACCTCCTTTTTGAATCCATGCGTGGATATTCTGTACTGAAAATGGTTCCTCGGAAATCGGGATGAGAAAACAAACCTTATACATTACGAATGATTGGGCCGAAAACGCCATCGGTTTGCCGCTTCAGGGCCCCAAGAACACTCTGTCATCGCACTCCTGCAACATCTCTACCATCCTGAACCCCCCAGAAGAGTCTGAAGAGAGAACCCAAAACGAAGCGAAACAACCGACCACGACTCGGCCGTTCTGTTTGGACCACGACTCGGTCGACGTTCGGACCAAGCGCCGCGCTTCTCGCGGCGTCCCGGAGGAGATCCACGCGTCCTACGAGACCAAACGCCGTGAGGCCACGGAGGAGCTGCTGAACCTGGTGGCCGCGGCGATGCGCAGTGCCGCTCAGCGGATGAGGTCGAGCTCCGTGCGGTGTGCGTTGAGAAGTCTGGCCGCGAACCGGGTGGGGAGATGGTCGGCCGATGGCTGTGAATTCGGTGTGTATGCTTAATGGGTACTGGCAGAGCCGGCCAATGGGTTTGAGTCTTTGGTATTAAATTCATATCGAATTCGAACCACAATCACAAACACACAAAACACAAACACAGAAACCACACGCACAACCACAATCACAAACACACAAACACACAGACACAATCACAAACACACAATCACACACACAACCACAACACATGACCACAACACTCAAAAACAACCACAACAGTTTCCTGTGTGTGGCAAGTGGTTACAGGGTAGCACCCGCAACCCGGAACGAACATCTGACACAAAATTACCTAACCGGAGGACCCGCAAGCAAAGTTGAACACCACAAAGCTCACGACCATGGCAACATGCTCCTCACCACCGCAAGAAAAATGATTGAATTGTCATGGTGGGGATCACTCGAAGGAAGTATTTTTTTTTTTTTTTCGAAGATCACTCATTTTGAGATGGCCTGCCTAACCATCATCATCCGCTGGGCACTTGCCTGATGATGAAAGGACAGGAAACTCTTTTTCCATACGGACAATTCTTTTCATAGTCTTTGGTTTTGAGGCCGTCGCTATGGAGGCCATCACTATTTGGATGGAGATCGCTATTAGGTTGAAGGCCATTGCTAGTAGGTTGGAGGCCATCGCTATCACTGGCCTGGTGATGAATTTTGGCTGTGGGTTGACGTCGACGACCGGGGACTTCCAGGATTTGAAAAGGAACATTGAATAAACAAAGACTCACGGTCACCAGGTCGCCGGAACAACAGAGCTCCAGGTGTTCCTGATCTGGATCTTTCGATTTCCACGAACTGGGTAAATCCCCTTTTGGTGATTTGTCCCAGGCTTGGACAGCAAATCCAGGTTTTTGACCCACAGCCATATCGAATCTCTCCCAGATGCGCAGCCAGAGGAACCTTCACATGTTTGCTCGGTGGCTCGGGTGGTCCCGACCCCATGCAGGCGATGGTCCCGAACTGGGCTGTCGTATTGACCCATGAATCGGCCTCAATATGTCCAATAACCCTGACCATCCATGGGACTAAGTAGCATATTGACCCACATTGGGGTGGTCGAACTGGGGTTTATGTAGGTAAATCTTCCAGTCCCATGGATGGTCTGGGAAATGGTTGCTGATGGTTTCTGTTGATCCTTGGAATCCGTGTGCTCCTCCTCCGAGATGTGGGGCTCCAATCGCGAATCCTCACCACCTTTGTTTTCACTCGTGATGGACGATCAAAGCAGGTCCACCAGAATTCGTTGCCTCCCAAGAACGGTTGTGCAAACCAGGATTCGTTCACTCTCTCAGGTGATCATCCCCACTGAGGACTACAAGACCTTACAGCAAATCTTTATGGTGCCTTGGGTCCCCTGAGGATCCGCACCTTTCAACGGCGGGGTCGATCCGGGCCGAAGGATAGAGGAACCTTCCGGTCCGACCGGAGACATCCTCCGGTCTGCCAGCCTCTATGACTGGCACGATGAATGATCAAACGTTTTAGGAGTCTGCTGGTGGAGGACGTCAGGGGTTCAAGGATTCATGGAGTCAGTTTGGAATTGTGGTTTGAACAGCCCATGGTTTTGCTCAAGCTGAAGAGTATAAACTTAAAGGCGGAAGGGTGGAACGGGCAAACGTAAGAACATAGTACCCACAGGAGTGGATCATGACAGATACTGTATATATATATATATACACTGTATATCATAAAGGTATACATAGGTGTGCATATAGAAACATACAGTACACCATTATGTATGTATACACCTCAAACTATGCACTCTGTGTTGGTCACGCGAGTGGTCATGCGAACCCGACAACCTGATTGCAATGCAACCCGTCATGCGCACACCACAGTGCATTCGGCCGCAGTTGGCCACACAGCGCTGCGCAGAGTCGAAACTCGACTCCCGATGGATCGGCGGATCGGCGCCGGATGAAAGGCACGGCGGTTTGGATGTGGGTCCGTTTGGATGCATCATCATCCAAAGAAAGGTGACTTCAGGGCAGGGAGCTTGTGGATGTGGGGAGTCCCGAGCTTGTGATGATGCATCAGTTTGGTTTTTACTTGTCCAACAGCGGGTTTTGTTCATTTGGTGACCTCGCTAAGTTGGGAAAGAGTTACATGCTATCAAGGTAGAAAGATGAAGAGACATGCACTTGCAATTTGAAATGTCCAAGCTCCAGCCATTTAACTTTTAGCAGTGCACGGAATCATTCAGTCGAAGAGCCTCCACCCCAGTAAGTGCAAACAGGCCCATTTGTCCTCTTGAAACAGTTGGGCTTGAACTTCCCAGCACCAAAGCATCTATTCCAAGCACCCGGACGGTCCCTTGAGATTCGTATTCCAGTCCCATGCATTGCAACCCAGAAGTGCTTTGAACTTGCCCAGAATTGCTTCGCCTCCGTGGCTCCAGCGGAGAGAGATCCTTTTCTTCGATCCCCCAGCGCCTTAACCATGAAGACCTTGCTGACGGAGGAGACCGTGCCTTTGACGGAGGAGACCGTGCGATCGACCGGTAGGAACTTCAGTTTTTGATGGGCTGTCCACCGCTAGTCCAAGCAGGGTGAGTTGCTGGATTTTTGTTTGTTTGGAATAGCTTTAATTAGGCTGAAAAGGAAATTAATCCTTTGTTCACTGCTAACGTTTTTCTTGCTAAGTGACCATTTTCCAGATTATCCTTGATAGATCTTGATAGATCGTCATTTATTTCTGTCATCGGAAGCCATTTGCATGGCTAGTGCTTCGTTAAAATACACACATACAAGTACAGCACATAATCAATTACATATATACATCTAGTATATAAATATGCACATGGCGGTTGATCTAAAATCCTGTGTAAGGATGTGTAAGGCGTTATATATATAACAGCCTTTGACATGTTGTTACAACCATCCGCGAAAGATTCGCCATGAGGTCTCGCAAAAGTATCGCTGGTTTTTGTCGCAAAAGATTTTTCAAAGGTCTTCGCTTTCACTTTTTTCCTTTCGATTCTACCGACCGACAAACGGTAGAAATACAAGGCAATCCTCGGGCAGCAGGTGCCCGCATGTCGCCACTGTCACAGACTGACGAACTGAAGGCTCAACGTTTCCTTGCCCAGCAACCTGAGTAGGCACAGCCCTGACAGTGAGGCGATGACCTGCAGCTTTGACGGCAGATATTTGCACATGATACGCCTTCCCAGGGGAAATCAACAGTTTCGCGAATGCGCCGCTAAAGTCCAGGTTCCCAGCTTGAGGTCCCCCAACATGCCCCAAGCTGCGTCACGGTGTGTTGGTAGCTGGCGCGAGGATTGGGTTGAGTTGTGCCTGACTCTATTCTAAGCCTCCGCCAGGACTTAGGAGACTGTTTGTCGCACAAGCGTCGCACAGATGCCGCAGGTGATCCCGAGAAATTGTGGAAACTCTAAACCGTTTGCTGGGATCATGCTGCAAGATGTCAGTCATCATTTTGTGATACATGAATAGTTCCTGGTCATGTTAACTAGACATGGTTTTACGACCATGCTTCGTGATGAGGCCGCGAAGCATCCGCAAAAGATAATAAGGATATCTCTCAGCTCTATATATATCTATAAATTCTTTCTGTGAGGAATGGCCATTCCAACATGATATTTGTTTGATCAACGCCCCACACCTAGGCGCTATGGTACTAAGGGCCTGCACACATTGAGCTAAACTATTAAGCATTGCCGTTCACAGGTGGGCAGCCACAAGGTAATGCTGGAGCAATTGAAGACCTTCATCTGAACTTCATTTGCTGTTCCCCGCTGTAGGTTCACGAGTACATTGCTTGGTCGATCGACCCAAAAACCCGTTCAGATGTGTGTTGATTTTTGGTGAGCGATTCAATGTCGGGACACCTTCCTTCAGGTCCCTGACAAGCTAATGAAACATCGGCAACGTGAGAATTTGTAGTTTTTCCTTTTTGATATCCTTGCCCAACCCTGAAGCAGCACTTGATCAGAATGAGTGAGCAGAAACTGATGCACAAGCCAGTGCATGGCCAAATGATTTGGCAGATGCATCAGGCTGAAGAAAAAGCACCTGATCAAGAGACGAAGTCAGACGTCATCCTCCTTTTCTAAGGTGAAAGTGCCCAAGGGCTGCAAGATCACTGTGAAGTCCAAGATGCATGGCGGTTATTTGGACCATCCAATGGGTGTCCAATAGAGATCCCTAAGTAGTGCAGGGGTGTAGGCTAGTCGACATCCATTGGATTGGATGGCAATTGTATTTTTTTCATGTTTCGCACTTTGCAGGCAGCCTTCTTATCAAAGGTCCTTGGATGGATGGGTGGCCTTGAGATACCACTTGCAGTAGGGATCATGCATTTATATACCCGGATACCCATATGCTTAAAGCCATACACATGCTACATGTCATGTGTTTTTATCCAACAACCCAGGCGTGCGAACTTCGGAAAGCACCATACAATATGGGCGGGGCGATGTCTGAAAAGTCTTGGACACATGTTTTTTTGGTGCCGCTGTCCGCATCCATACATCATCATACATCCGCGCTTGCCCTAATGATTGGACTTGTCGGGTTTCGAGGGCGTGTTTGCTTCAAGATCTTGGTACGGTTCTAGAACCATAATATGCAGAGCGGGATGGTGATAGTGCTTTGGGCGTAGCATCACTTTCTGTCCAAATTCCTGAGATTCGGAGGATTGTGGAGGTGACTGGAAAGCATGGTAGCTTGAAGCGAGATTTCAAGCATTTGCCCATTGAGCTCTTTCTGTCCAATGGTGGCAAGAAGGCGCAGTCCTGTCACACAGTCCAAGCCCCTCAAGTGCTTTTCTGAGATGCCTTTTTCGGGGAAAGGGGAGTGGGGCTTGTTGGTTCTATGCAGCTTTCAATATCACACAGGAGATCTAAAGTCAACGGCATGACGTTGCTTTTGGATTAAAAAGGCAGGTAGGAGTTATATATTTGGATATCGATGGATGTTCTTGGACTGGATGGGTGCATCTGGACCGCCAGGTGGTGGCGCGGATGTATTTTGCCAAGAGCAAGCAGTGCTCCATGCTGAATACGGTGTCCTGGTTTGGGTGGATTTGGCGATTCTGAGGTTCCTTTGGGTTAATACACTTTTGGGGGGAAATGCATTGCGTTGGCAGAAGCGGGTTGTGACTTTTGCGCGAAGACACGAAGACACGAAGACACGCGAAGACGCGAAGACACGAAGACACGCGAAGACACGAAGACCCGAAGACACGAAGACAAGCGAAGACACGAAGACACGAAGACACGCGAAGACCCGAAGACCCGAAGACACACGAAGACACGCAAAGCCACGAAAACGCATGAAGACCCGAAGACACGAAGACACGAAGACTTGCGAAGACACGAAGACACGCGAAGACACGAAGACACGCGGAGACACGAAGAGGCTTCAGGTCTTCAAGGCTTCAGGTCGTCACCAGGCTTCAGGTCTTCAAGCCTTTAGGTCGTCACCAGGCTTCAGGTCTTCAAGGCTATAGGCTTCAGGTCTTCAAGGGTTCATGTCATCGCCAGGCTTCATGTCTTCAAGGCTTCAGGTTGTCACCAGGCTTCAGGTCTTCGCCAGGCTTCAGGTCTTCAAGGCTTCAGGTCGTCACTAGGCTTCAGGTCTTCAAGGGTTCATGTCGTCGCCAAGCTTCATGTCTTCAAGGCTTCAGGTCGTCACCAGGCTTCAGGTCTTCAAGGCTTTAGGTCGTCACTAGGCTTCAGGTCTTCAAGGCTTCAGGTCGTCACTAGGTTTCAGGTCTTCAAGGCTGCGGCTTCAGGTCGTCGCCAGGCTTCAAGTCTTCAAGGCTTCAGGTCGTCGCCAGGCTTCAGGTCTTCAAGGCTT